TCTTTATCAGTGCATTGCAGTTAATGCTCGGCAATAATTATTTATAGCTTAGCCCTACAATTGTTCAAATATTGAGGCAGAAGTTAATTAAATCAGCGTTCTGTTCAGCAAAAAAAATTTCATAATTCTTATTTTAATTAAATGCGATTAATACTGGCGGTAATGTAAGAGGGCAAATCCTTATGCTGTATTTTATAATTTCATTTGTGGATCTGTGGCATTTCAGCATTTCTATGATGTATTAACATAGGAAGGTCGTGAAGTCTTTATACGCTCTCTTTCGAAATCTCGGTTCAAATGTAAGCAATTCCGAAAATCAAGGGCTTCTCGCTGTCCTTTATGAAAAAGCATGACGGATGCTTATGAAGAAAACAAAAGTACAATAAATCTTCTTCAGAAACCTTCTTCAATACAAGAAAACTTCGTTCTGGTATACTTTCTTCAAAGTATGAGAGTGGCACCAGGACAGAGTGTGCCAGTGGACAAAGAAACACAAAATGACGAAGATTCTGATCTAAAAACATCGGTTTTTGGTACTCGAACTCGCTTTGTTATGGTAGTCATCGTACTCATTTGTCTTGCTAGCATATGGTAACATTTTTTTTCATTCGTCCTTCTTCGCTTAATATTGTTATTGATATATTTCACTGCTTCCTCTAGCTGTGCTGAATGGGACTTCTATCTTGAAACAGTAATAAGTCAACTTCTTTGACCCTGTAAGTTCCATAATTAATAAGTTCGCAACTGCCTAGCGTTATATGAAGAGAGGAGTAGCTTTCAGCATGAGCTGATGTTGGAAAGCAGTCTGCATTCCTCAACAGAAAAAAGCTTGCGGGCCTTCCATGGTACCTGTGTTGAAATGCCCTTTTTTTTGATTAGCTTGGCCTTCTCTGTTTTTGCATCACATTAAATACTAGGCAACTTTTTAAATATTCATACTGTTTCATATCAACAATTTTCTTATCACTAAATACTAAATAACCAGTTAAATTTGATATTTTCTACTTAGTGCTGAATATGGCGTATAATGCTTTCAAATATTTGATTTTTGACGCCATTCATCATCTCTAATTTTGTTGCTGTAGGGACCAAATATATTTTTCCTTGCCGCTTACATTTCTTGTTCCTTGAGCCAGGATTATGCATTCTTTTAGATGCATCGATGACTTGGGCGTTTCCCCAGGACAAAAAAAAGCCTATTAATTGATCACGCTGGTACCCCTATTAATTTTTCTGGTTTGCAAAACTAGTCTTTTTTTTCACATGTCGAAATGACCGGTCGAACGTGGAATATAGGAGCCTTACGTTCCAATTCAGAGCACGAGACTCATAGCAGAATGCATTTCGATTAATACTCCGATGTGACCAAGGGTTATTCGTATTGTTATAAGAAACGTCGGATAGAACCTCTCTTTTCATCTCGTCATATTACATTTGCAAGCCAAAGCCTAAGAAGTTTCAGTGAAAGGAGGATTATGCCGGTAAGTGTTACGCTGCATTTCGTTTGGTAGTGCTCCGGTGCTGGCCAAGCACAGCTTAACTCTCAGCGATGCTAGTAACTGATGCACAGAAAGAAAACTAAGATTTCCTGCCACTTGTCGATATCCGACTTGTAAGTTTGAGTGCAATGTTTCTGGAATTATCTTGCTGGGGTGTACCATATTTACCATTCCAGTCTTCAAATAAAGTTCAGCGTCCAGTCTAGGACAAGTCTTCTTTCAGGTCCAACATACTGGCGTTCAATTTCGCTGTGATCTGCATGGAAACGCCGCAAAATGTTTCGAACGGTGACGAGTCACTGGATACATCCGACAGACATGACTTTACCAACAGTAAGACGCTGTAGTTTGCCTTATTTACCATGCAAGCACCGGTGCTACTGGTTAGCCTGAAAATGCTTCCGACACGCCTTCTGCATGCCGTAGTAGCTGATCTTGAAAGGACACGGATGCTGGGCCTAACCACCAAAAAAGTTTACTAAACCAAACACAACAACAAAGACCGCCTCAGTGGCCTATCCACAACCCCGCCTTAAAGACCGCCTCAATACCCTTGCATAGCCACAAAAACATAAGAATGACGGCTTGGGACTGCCGTCTCGGTCACTGTTGCTGCCTTTATTTAGGCAGATTATCTGGAAAATGCCTCCCTGCTGCTCTTCTTCGCACCGCTGATCACAATAAAGAGAAGGCTGGGGTCTGGACGCAAATAATCAAGGAGAATGCATAGCAAACTCAATGGCAGCTTCGTCAGTTTTGCAAGATTTGTCAGGAAATTTTGTGCCAGTTTTCGCAGTTAAAAACAGATTCTATCGAGGTCTGCTTCAGTAATATTATTTACTATGCAGTCTTAGTGTTAAATATTGCTTATTATTGTTTATTATGCAATCTTTATATTATTATAAACAAGTTTGGTCACTCCCAATATTGAAATGCCTCACTGCAATAAACATGCGAAAGGAGCTCCTCCGACCAGCCTTGGCTACTGCTTTGTCAACAAAAACTGCGCAAAATATGTCCGTTCCAGGAGAGCAAAGCTGGCT